ATGCATCAGAATCACCAGCAAAACGTTTTATAAACACATACACTCAGTCCCTACTTCCAGAGATTCTTATTCAACTGATCTAGGTTAGGGCCCAGGAAACATCTTGTAAAAGCTCCCCTGTTGATTCTAATGTGTGGGCTGTACTAAAATACCCAGAAAACCCAATCAGCATGTCATTGTTAGATCTTTCTTTGGGCAACCAAAAGTAGCAAGTGGAAAAGTGGAAGCCCACTCTATCCTTTTAATTGGTCTTTACTGTGCTAGACATCCAAAGAAGAAGTTCAAGAAAGTTGGCCTGATTGTTCTCTTAAGCCCTTTTTGAAAGCCACAATTATTAGATCGTAATTTATAAACTAGCTCAGTAAGAGCCAGGAATTTTCACAGAGAATAGCTTCCAAAGTGTTAGTTTTTAAAGTTACTTAAAATGTAGTAGTGGCTACAATGGGAAACTAATGACCACATAACCATTTCGGGGAAGTGGTTCACTTGAGCTTCCTTTTTTCTCCTTTCTTCAAAAGAAGTGTTTAAACAAGACAACATGTTTTCAGTAAAGAAGAATTTACAAATGGGAACAATTCCATTTCTGCTGATGTGCTGAATTTGGTCTAATTGATAATCTATATCCATTGAACCTGCAAATAAACAAGGATTTTCCAAGGGTAGACATTTATCATTTGGACAATCACTGGATCATGGTCTGACAGTAACTTGGTCTGGAAAGCCATTTTGGTAGATAACAGCATGTTTACTTTTTAATTATTTGTTTAAAAAATGTTTATTCATTTGAGAGAAAGTGCATAAATTGGGGAGGGGCAGAGAGAGAGAATCCCATAGGGCTTGATCTCACAAACCATGAGATCATGACCTGAGCTGAAATCTCAAGAGTCGGATGCTTAACTGACTGAGCCACCCAGGTGCCCCGATAACAGCATGTTTAAATGGGACTCTTTCTGTCTGAGTTTATAGTTGAGAACAACAGATACTGCATTCTAAAGGGAGGTGGTAGGCCATCGAGGCTATCAATACAGGACTTGGAAAGAAGATGCCCCAAACTAGTTCTGCTACCTTCAAGCTAAGGTGCTTCGTTGCCCATCTCTGCATTGTGTGAGACAATGGAAACAATTCAGAAGACCCAATATTGAAAATTAGGTAGAGTTTATTAAGGGTTCCTTCCAGAAAACCACTTGTAGAACTTATATGTATTTCCCAGAGGGTGGTGTGGGACCAGAGACCAGTTACTGATTCATGCCTAAAAATTCTAGAGGTTAGCGGGCAGGAGGAGAGGACTGCTTTGTACAGCCCAATGGTCCAAGACAAGTGGCTGTCCATGGGCCAAATGGATCTGTGATCCAGCCTTTTTAAGCCTAGGCTGACCATACGTGATGACCAGGAAGCAATGAGTGAATGAACAAAATATGGTATATTCTTACAGTGGAATATTAGTCAGTCTTAAAAAATAAGGTAATTCTGACACAAGCTACAACATGAATGACCGTTGAAGACCTTATGGTAAGTGAAATAAGTCAGTCACAAAAGGACAAATACTTTCCTTACATGATACTGATTCTGCTTACATGAGGTATTTAGAGGAGTCAAGTTCATAGACATAAAGTGGAATAGTGGCTGCCAAGGGCTAGACAAGGGAATGAGGAGTTAGTGTCCCGTGGGCACAGACTTTTAGTTTGGGAAGATGAGACCATTCCAGAGATCTATGGTGGTGATGATTGTTCCACATTGTGGATGTACTTAATGCCGCTGAACCGTACACTTAAAAATGGTAAATTTTATGTTGTGTTTTTTTTTTTTTACCATAATAACTAAAAGAGAAAAACAAAAATAGACCCTAAGAAAGAGGACTCCTGAAGGAGTGATATGATCCCCACTGAGGAAGGGTCTGGATGGGCCATTGGATGCCAGGGCCTGAGAGATGATTATAACCTGTCAGTCAGGAGAGGTAAACCCACATCAGGGACTGCCAATAGGAGATTCCTAGACTCCAGAATTTTCTGAAGAATTTTTGAAAGTAACTCACAATAAAAAGAGAATGTTGGTGCTTGACGCAGAGTGCCTTGAAACCAGGTTAGAGTAAGATTTCACCCTTTATCCTACCTCCATCTTGCTCTCTATGCCTGTCTTGGGGAGGAGGTAAAGAGTAAGGAAGCCCACTAGGACCTTCTCCTGATCATAGCTTCTAATAAAAGTGAAGGAGAGGAGCTCAGAGGCTATTTAACATACCTGAGTGTGTCAGAAGAGTCATGTAATATACTAGAGAGTTCATCCAGGAGTGGAGAAGTTTGATTCCAGAGAGTAGTTCTAAAGGAAGAGGGATGAAAAATAATGGACTGGCATTCTGTTGGCATCCTAAGTCTAGTTGTGTCAATCAGCCAGTTAGGGAAAATTCTCTCCTTGGAACTTAGGATATTACATATAGCAGAATCATCTCTTTCATTTCTCTCCTTTTTCCTTATCTTCAGGAAGCCAGGTTAGCCTGTTAATTATCATAGAAGGAAATACCCAAGGGGAGATGATATCTTGGAAGAGGTCTCCCCTAAGATAAGTAAACAGAAACAATTGTCTTCATGGCCTATAAAGGGGAAAGGGAATACGGAGGTGTGCTATGCAAGTCTGTGACCAGCAGGACTACCACTACGGTGACTGTCACCTTTACCATCACAGCCTGAACTTTTCCCTTTTGGAATGCTGACACGGCAGACCAGAAGAATTATTTGTGGCTGCAAGCATTCATTTATTCAATATACTTTTTGTTTTATAGGTAAACCACTGAAAGGAATAAAGAATAGATAGCAGAGAATAGATAGCTTGTTCTAGCAGAGGAAAACATACAAACTCACAGTAAACAATAACAAAGGATCAAGTCAGGAGCATGTAAGCATGAAATTAGAAGACTTACAGAAGAGATTACATTTAAGTTGAGCTTTGAATGACAGAACAACTTTGAGAGGAGTTGGCATAACTGGAACAGAGAATAACTGAAGTGGGGAAGATGTTAGAGATCACGTGGCAGAGAAGCAGGTGGCTAATCTGTAGACTATGACGTAGTTGAGTTTGTAAGTAGCATAGAATGCTTTGAAGAGAGACATGAGATCCAGGGGTAGTAAGATAGTTTGATATGAAATTTCAAAGGGCCCCGAAGGCCAGGAAGTTTGTACTCGGATAGGTAATGAGAGAATAATTTAGGATCCATGAGTGGGTGAATGATGCAATCTGAAATATGGTTTAGGAAGAACAGATAAATGGCTATTAGGATTGTTCAGTCAAGAGGTAAGGAAGCCCATAAGTAGAATGGCTGCTGTGGCTATTGGAAAGGAGGAAATGGATGGGAGAGGCTTTGGGGAGGTAGAATAAATGGGGCTTGACTCCTGACTCATATGCCCTTTCCACACCCTCTGCCTGACCCTCATCCCTTCCCTCGTCTGGTCATAGAGGGGTATAAGGTGTCCCTTAACACACGGACTTATATTTTCCGGAAAATTTCTCATCAGTATCCAGCAAGCCTTCATTTGCAATATCTATGAAAGACACCCCAAAGGACAATTCTTGGTGTTCAAAATGAAGAAGTAATATTCTGATTTCCATTTATATTGTATTTTCTCTGTATTCTGGAATTTCAGGTGCAGTTTTCCCCTTTTATCATAGGATTCTTACACTCAGAAAATGTGAACATACATTAGTATACTTCCCGTGAAGCTCTTGGCACTCGGACAGAATGGAAATCAGGATAATAAAATTAAAGTTATTAAAAATGATAGTAAAATTGCCTCTTTGTTTCATTATTCAGCTTTAAGAGCATCTCTACTCTCTAAGAGTCTTAGAGTATTATTTATTTTTATATATTTAGGAAAAGACCTTTAATTAGAATTACATAACTAAATTATAAGAACTTAAGAAAAGCAATAATCAAAATAATAATGTTTTATAATTCAATTGTTAAACAAAATCCAGACAATGTATTAGTCACTTCATTTTTTAAAGGCCAAAAAAGTAGAAAGTATATCATATGGTTATATTTTTATTTTTCACCATTTGTGGGATAGGTTAAAATGAGCTGAAGTTGCCAGTATGTGGCAATAGGGAGGGGAGAGACCCCATAGCACGGGAGGTCTGCTGGGAAGGCTTTGTCCTTGGTGATGTACAGCTTTTGAAGACCTGCATGGCTATTTTTAACATGGGCAATTCTGTATTTATGGCGTCCGGTCTTTTCTGCAGAAACATACAGGGTAGTGGGGAGCAGAGGCAAGCAGTAAGGGGCAGGGGCGAACAATAGGGGGCAGCGGCAAGCAGCAGCTCACTGGAGCACAGCAGCTATACCTCCAATGCTGCTGGGATGTTCAGTGGTGGAACAAAGGATGTGCTCAGGATCTAGGAAACCGGGGATCTGTTTCCAGCTCGCACTTCAAGCAGGAAATGATCTTCCTCATAAAAAGGACAAAAAATTACATCTCCTCTCCAGCCCCTCAATCAGTGCAGTTTTATAAGCAATTCTTGGGCGGAACATGCAGAACTCAGTGCAGATTAAGGGCAGCAAGTGCTCTGGTTAATAGTATAGCCAGCTTTTATTAAATGCTAAAAGTAACTAAACACTCTCTAAATACTTTCCCTGCACTGTTTTATTGCACTGTTAAAACACCTTTCTTCCCAAACCCATTTAACACGTGAAACAACTGAGCCTGAGAAGTTAAGCAGCTTGCCTAAGACCCACAGCAACTGAACACAGATTCAGTCCTGGCTAAAATGACCAGACTAACGTCAAAGACGTGGCTCTAAATCTTCTTCCGGCATTGCCTCTGGCTCGCATAGAGCCAGCAGCCTCCTGCAGGGGATACGGATACACAGCAAGGTGTGCCTTAGACGTGTACTTCCAGTGAGCTCTGGACATTTCAGCAAGCATCCCTAAGAAGCAAACTTCCCAAACAAAATAGGGAAAACACTTCCAGAGAATGCACCAAGCTGGTATTTTATTAAAAACGGCTGAAAGAAAGGATTCTTAAAAGACAAGAGAATGCTGTGCTGTCTCTCAAGAGTCTCACGCGGGAAAAAAAATGTATTCACATTACCTCTCCGGGCCATGAAATATGTGTGCGTGCTTTCTGGGGAGGGAAAGGCTTCTGGGGTGGTTATTGTCACTGGGGGCTGGATTAGTTCCCTTCAATCTTGTTGCCAGCTGAAAAAAACACACTGCAAAAATATTACAGGGATGGTAAAGTTACATTTAGACAAAGATCTTATGTAAGATCAAGCAGAAAAAAACCTGAAGAGGATTAAGTAAAAGTGAGACAACATGAACGGAAGAGGAACCTGTCCAGATCTAAGTGAGGAATCTTCCCTTAGCCACAAGGGAAAAAGAGGAGAAGCTCACCGCATGTTCTTGGGGAGGAGGAGAGGATACAAGGATGGCACCGAGTGTGGCTCTGCCCCCTGCCTAGTGCGTCCCCTCACGCTCTTTCTTCCATTATTGTTGCTGTTGTTATTAACATCATCATCACTATTTTACCTTAAAACATTTGTTGGATCATTTACATTCCTATAAAGTACCTTAAATCCTTTATTGGAATAAGCTGGCTATAAATATATACTTTTAATAGAAATATTCACATAAAATTATATTATTCACATACATCGATGGTATTTATAAATACATACATTTTAAAAATATACAATCACTCAGAAGCTAATGTATACTATAGTATGTGAAGATCTCACTCCAGAGTTTGGGTTTAGTAGCTCTCAACAAATCATTTTTGGTCACCATAAAACCCTGAGATAAGAAATCCTTCCGGATATTCTTGCATACACATTCCTGGATGAGGGAGTGGGGTGGATGCCACCTGATCATTAGAGTTGGGAATGTGGTATCTGGTGGGGTCGGGGTTGAGTGTAGGGGGGTGGGGCGAAAGCAAGATGGCAACACGAGAATTCTGATCGGGTAAGCACCCAGAACATACAAGTCCTCACATATGAGCAACTCCTGAAAGGGTGAGACTGCCGTAAGACTTGGGCTGGGAGTTTAGGAGTGTCAGTAATAATTTTTGTGTGTAAGGGCTGAGGGTATCGGAGTTTTCTAAGAACCCAAATGAGCAATTCACGGGTGAGGATGCTGTGGTTGTATCAGCACTTTCTAGGTGGAGGATCAGTGATGGTGCCAGTCAGAGTGTGGCCTCTCCTCGGTGAATGACAACTCCTGCCTCAACCCACTGATTCCAGCCCCCTCTCAGCAGGACAGAGAGCTACCAGGAGGTGGGCGAGGAGTGCGAATGTGGGTATATGTGAAATGCTCTGTAGGTGTGAAGTCTAACACGACAGTATGAAGTAGAGTTTGTGCGGGAATAGTGTATAGTGTATCCTTTTTTACAGTTGCAGAAACTAAAGTTTCTAAATTAAAGTTTTTAAAGAAACAGAAGTTTCTTTAAAGTGAGAGGTAACACTGTGGAGGTCAAAATTTGAAGATGGTGAAGGAGTCATGTCAACATTTGCTGTTCCAAAGTCCTGTCCTTTGTTCTTTCTCACAATCTGTGGTGATTTCTCAGTAATAAACACATTACTGCAAGTAATAATAGTGCGACTATTGTTATTACTGTAATTTTATTGATGGAGTATTAAAGTCTCCTCCTGTATCATCTCATTTAATTCTCACACTTGAGGTGGGTGATAGAGCCAGGATGTGAAAATACTTCTGCACACAGACCTAATGCCCTAATAGTGATTCTTATTGGTTGCATATCCACAGTTTACCTATTTATTAATTCATTCTGCAGGTATTATTTATATTCCTTGTTGTAAAGATATTACATATAAACAAAGCAGGCCTCTGAGGGAGCGCCAAAAACAAAAAATCATTTTCATTGGGTAGGGGAACCCCTTTCTTCCACTCTTTCCTTTTCTTTCCCTTCCCCCCTCCCTCCAACAATCCCCAAACCATTTAATAAATGCTTTCTCTGTGCTAAGTGCCCTGCTAGGCCCTGGGAATAAGAGTAGGATTTTATAAAAGATAAAATCCCTGTGCCTCCAGGGTTCCAGGTCTAATGAAGGGTAGCAAAGTATATAGGTAAATAACCAATTTTAGGTCTTTTAAATCTTAAATCAGAGTACTGCAAGTACATGGTGTTACCTGCTTATCCTCTCCCTTGGTTTTATCTTTCTACCAATATCTCGCTTGTTACACAGAATATTTTAAGGATGGCACATGTATTATATTATCGTGTTCTAGATAATGTCACATATTATCGACATTTTATCTGCCCTACTTAATAAGTATTTCAATGGCTACAGAGGAGAAGTTAGGGAAAACAGTAGGTCTTAGGTCAAAACAAGGAGATTCAGGGGAAAACTATCATTTTAGGACTCAGTCTGAGAGGAGATGCAGGTCAGGCCTGGGAAACAGGTCGGAGCTCTCGGTTGGGATGTGTACGTGTGTGGTGGGGGAGCTGGATAATGTCGGGAGCAGCGTGCCCCGCCTGCATCACATATATTTGTGGTGAAGGTTTTCTTCTGTGGTAAGAGAAGTTGTGCATTTCCAGACTATATATACATATTCAAAATAAGTTCATAATGCATTTAAAATCCTGACAGATTATTTTTGTATCACTCCTTTTAATAAACCTAACACATAAAATCTATATCTAAACTGTACAACGTATATGGATGGCCTTCAAGGTCTGTGAACTCCCTAAACTTGCATGTAAAATTTTGAGTGTATGAGCATTGTTTAAGAAAGGGTCTCTGGCTTTCATCATAGTCAAACTCAAGACTCTAAAATAATTAAAGCCCAATGAATAGATAGTTAAAAATTGAGAAATTAAGCCCCATAATAAGGGCTTTTTTTTCTCTTATAAAATTAGGCCTTTTTAGCATGTGATTCAGACATAAATACTGACTTACATCAAGAGCCACAGACTGTTTGGCCCAGGACTTCTTTACTTGATCATACATAATTGTGTTGTTGATGCCAAGGCCGCAGAATATGACAAAAGCCTAGGAAAGAGAAAGCCCACTAATTAAAAATTGCAATAACTCACTGGCATAATCTAATATGAAAGCAGGCACTCATCAAAAATGGGTCTGAAAATATAATTTTATTGTGCACAGAGGTAGGCCTTGGGGAAATATGCACATTAAAATTCTTAATTACTATTGTCATGTAACAACTTTATAGCTCACATTGCACATGAGAAAAAAATATTAATTTAATGTCACTGTGAAGAAATGACTCTGTAAATTTCAAAACATACTTACAGTCTTACCAAATGTGCTCTTAATTTATTTAGATCATGGACTGATTTTAGTAATTCCATTCCATTTAACTAAAGAAACCTCTTTTTAATGGCTAGGGTATAAAATACTTTGATGAGGAAACCAAGTGAGCATACCCATGAGGTAAATGTGAACAGGAAGGAAGGTAGATTTAGAACCAGTTAGTAAAGAAACTGTGAGATATTCTTTGCTAGAGAAAAATAATCGTGGGGGTTTCATGTTGGCTACTTTGAGGGTGCAAAGTTTATAAAGAAGCCTGTTCAGGCCAACCTTTCCAGCTAGAGGACAGATGGGAATAAATGGAAGCTTGAAAACCCAAGGAGAGTGATGGCCATACACCTCGCAGAGCTGGCTCGAGGTCTTACAACTATACATAAACTCTTGACAAATTCTGGCAAGCTGCAACCAGACTATAAGCTTTGGTTCACAAATTTCTTACCTCAAAAAGTCGTTGATCTGCGTCATCAAAAGCTTTCCCATCAAGTCTATTTAACACCTGAGCCACTCCTGTGGGAAGAGTTTGGTTTATGTGATCAGTTTCAGCATTGCTCACTGTGCCACTACAATATAATAAGCCCAGCTGACTCCATACCTCCCCAGGTAACATCAGACACTCGGTTTAATCTCTGGTTTCCTCTGATCTCAGGTCTAGCGCCTGCCATCTTTAACAGAGGGGATCTGAGGTATATAGCGATGCAGTCTATCTTCAAGGCTGTGATATCCAAACTGGCTCACAGTGAAGCCTGAAGTTCTACCAGGCATCAATCTGATTCCTTTAAAAATGCTTTTCAAAATGACTGTGCATAGTCACTCTGATATATCTGACATATATACACATGCAATTAGATATATAATCAAGTATTATTATTTTTTAAATATTTTATTTATTTCTGGGAGAGAGAGAGAGAGACAGCATGAGCAGGGGAGGGTCAGAAAGAGAGGAAGTCACAGACTGAAACAGGCTCCAGGCTCTGAGCTGGCAGTCAGCACAGAGCCTGATGCGGGGCTCGAACCCACGAACCGCGAGATCATGACCTAAGTGAAAGTCAGACGCTTAACCGACTAAGCCACCCAGTCGCCCCTATAATCAAGTATTATTAACTGTGTATATATACACATGTGTGCATATATATATATATATTTTTTTTTTTCAATCCCCTGGAACACAGTGCTTCAATGAGACAGTGTGGCATAGTGATTAAGAAGAACATGGACTGTGGGGTCACACTGTCTCAGCTCACATTTCAACTCCACCAACCTTTGTGACCCTGAACAAGTCACCTAACATTTTTAGCACTAACATTTTGCACCTGTAAAGTGGGGATTAAAATGTTAACTATCTTGGAGGGTTATGAAGATTAAATTAGATAATGTTTGAAGTTGTCTCAGTGGCTCAGTTGGTGAGGCATCTGACTTTGGCTCAGGTCATGATCTTCCAGTTAGTGGGTTCGAACCCCATGTCAGGCTCCATGCTGACAGTGGGATTCTCTCTGCCACTCTCTCTCTGCCACTCCCTGATTTATTCTTTCTCTCTCTCTCTCTCAAAATAAATAAATAAACTTTAGTGTAAAAAAATAAATGAGATAACATTTGAATGTTTTAAAGCATATTGCTCCACATGGAGTGAACATTCAAGAAGTGCTGGGGATTAGGACACAGTTAACCTTCAAAGCAAGGGTAGTTCTGCTGTCTGCTACCAATGGGGTACACACAGTTCTAACAAACTTAATTTACGTGCACTTCCTCTTTCCAAAGTTCATTTCCAGCATTGTGCCAGATGTCTCAAAACATACAGCTCTAACCAGAAAAAGTGAACAATCTTGAAAAACAGTCCCTTGTATCCCCATTTAGTAAAAACAAACAAAAATAGCTGTAATTCTAAAGGATGCTTGTGTTTTTTAAAACACCTAACTTCCCACTAGGGAGGTAAGTCATCATATGCTAGAAGGTGTATATAATGAAACATATTTTTTAGCATGTAATAGGCAAACTGCAGTCTTAATTTTGAAAGAATAAAAGATGTTTACTGTTATGAATGAAAGCTATGGAGCGCCTGGGTGGCTCAGTTGGTTAAGGGTCTGACTCTTGATTTCGCTCAGGTCATGATCTCATAGTTCGTGAGTTCAAGCCCCAAGTCGGGCTCTGTATTGACAGCTCAGAGCCTGCCTAAGATTCTCTCTCTTCCTCTCTCTCTGCCCCTTCCCTGCTTGCCGTCTCCTCCCCTCCCAAAATAAATGAAAAATAAAAGTTAAGGGGCGCGCCTGGGTGGCTTAGTCGGTTAAGCATCCGACTTTCGCTTAGGTCATGATCTCGCGGTTCGTGGGTTCGGGCCCCGCGTCAGGCTCTGTGCTGACTGCCAGCTCGGAGCCTGGAGCCTGTTTCAGTCTGTGACTCCCTCTCTCTGACCCTCCCCTGCTCACGCTGTCTCTCTCTCTCTCTCCTATAAATAAATAAAACATTAAAAAAAAATTAAAAATAAAATAAAATAAAATAAAAGTTAAAAAGAAAGGAATTAAAGCTAGGACTAGATTTGAGATTGCCATTGGACATTGACAGATAACACGTGGGTGCTTCTTATGGACTTTCTCTTCTCTTTAAACCTAAATATATTTAAAACTCTATACAAGATGCAATTCAGTGCCTTGTCCTAGGGGCTCAAATTCCCAAATCTTAGAATATTCTTTATGTTCATTAATGTACCAATATTTTTCTGCAAATTAAGCAAACTGATGAAAAAATTCTGTTATAGTTCAAGTCTTGACAATATTGAAAGAATACTAAGTTCTTTGATAAATAGAAGTGTCTTTCAGTTTAACAGGCAATGTTGGAGGGAAGCAAAGAGAGGCAAATAGATGCACTAGTTACCTAGTCCCCTAGGGAAAAAAATCATGTTTTAACTGTGTTTCAGTAATTTTAACTAATGCCTCCACTGTTTATGACTTCTCTACTTTAACCACTGACTTCTTTCTTAGGTTTGATACTTCCCTGACTGAGGTTGTGAAGGGAGGGAAAGCAGAAAAGGAAGAAGAGAAAACTTAGAAGCTCCTTTGGCCCACAGTTCCATATTCCAGGTCAAGTATAACCTATTTCAAAGTATAACCTATTTCAGAATCACCCAGACAGAAAGATGTATGCTCAGTATATGTCTAATACTACCTGTTTTGGGGGTGTCTGGGTGACTCAATTAGTTGAGCGTCTGAGTTTGGCTCAACTCACCATGATCTCACCATTCGTGAGGTTGAGTCCCATGTTGGGCTTTGTGCTGACAGCTCAGAGCCTGGAGCCTGTTTTGGATTTTACATCTCCCCCTCTCTCTGACCCTCCCCTGCTTGCACTCTGTATCTCTCTCTCTCTCAAAAACAAATAATCATTAAAAAATTTTTTTTATTAAATACATGTTCTTTTTCCTTTGCATGTACTCCATGAGTAAAAGCATAGCTGTAAACATAAAGATGTAATGGGAAGTGTGTACAGGAGTTAGAAACCCTCACTTTTAATTTTGACGCTGCTACTGACTCTGTGATTTTATTCTGGTCTTGGTGTGATATCCCCACACTTACCCCCACCTCAATTTCTACAAGGTAAGATAAGAAAGTTCTATTAGTTGATTTTTGAGATCTCCTCTAACTTCAAAATTATTGGTCCTTGGTTAAAAAAAATAAATATTTGTTCACTGTTCTAATTAATGTTGATTCATCAGGAGTCTGCACTTATGAGATTACACAAGAGAATGAAATATAGGTTGATGAGTCCTGGACATAAAAGAGGGGAGCAGGTATCAATTCTTGGTCTTTTCGGTAAGACTAAGTGTTAAAGGGGAGAGCTGGTAAAAAAGATAAGGTGTATTTTATTTATTTATTTATTTATTTATTTATTAATATTTTTATTTATTTCTAGGAGAGAAAGAGAGAGACAGCATGAGCAGGGGAGGGTCAGAGAGAGAGGGAGATACAGACTCTGAAATAGGCTCCAGGCTCTGAGCTGGCAGTCAGCACAGAGCCCGATGCGGGGCTCGAACCCACGAACCGCGAGATCATGACCTAGCCAAAGTCGGATGCTTAACCGACTAAGCCACCCAGGCGCCCCAGATAAGGTGTATTTTAAAGTAAACTTGCCTTTATAAGAAGTTTGTACTACTTAGGTAATGTCTTACCAATTATTTGGTGGTTGCTATTCCAAATAGGAACACAGAGAACGGATCTTATGTGAAAACCAGATATCTGGTCAGCCTAGAATATAAGAAAATAATTAAAATTAAGCATCATTACCCATTTCTGACTTACAGCTTACCACTCTTCATAACAGACAAAAATAACCTTTAAAATGGTACATTATAATCTATTTTTTAATGCATACGCTCACCTGTCTCTTTTCATTTAAAACATCACTATGAACATCCCAAGGAGATCAAGTCCCAACCAAACATGAATCAACCAAATGATCCCATGTCAACACTACCTTCCCCAATCCCTGCAGCCACAGACAACTGGATATAAAACTCTCGATCATGATCATACCACCAGGCAAAAATTCTGGCAATTGTTTCTACCCTGAGTATTTAAAGTATTTTCATTAAATCAGTGGTCAATTGGGCACATCTGTTAGTAAAAGTGTTTTGAGTATATAATGCTGCAGTATGTATAATCAGTTTTAATACTCTATATTTTTAACATCACTAATTTACTGTGTATAAAACATATACAAAAAACTGAAGTTGCAAAAATATATGATACATGTAGCGTTTCAGAGATCTCCTCTCTGTACTCTAGAAGGCTGTCAGATGATGTATTTAAAATATGAAGGTATAGTAACCAGGATCAAAAAACATCATTCAGTAATAAGCTCCACGTAACATTAAAACCAATGATCCATATCTGAACTGTTAGATAAGAGCTACTAAAGACTGACAGGGTGTCAGTGAGCTCATATGACCTTGAGTTCTAGTGAGAAAGGTCAACCTGCCATCCCAAAACTATAGGAAAAACAGTAAGATATCAAGGTTTTAAATCATGGTTATTGGGGTAAAAAGGTACTTTAGTATTTTTAAATATTCATTGTAGAGCTATATATTTAAAACATTTGAAATTAGAAGTTAATTTACACACCTAAACTTTATGTTTGTATTGTTTTGGTTTTCCTCTGAGAAAATAATTTTCCAGATGTCTTCTATTTTTTTTTTTTTTTTTTACAAATAGTTTATTGTCAAATTAGTTTCCACATAACACTCAGTGCTCATCCCCAAAG